GATCAATGATTGTTTATCATAGGAGAAATTATGTTGGCAATACTTTTAAAATGTATAAGAGACACGCATTTGGCCAAAATTAAGGGCAAGGCTATATTCAAGCAGAATGAACAATTTAGATGCTCATAGATAAATCGACAATTTTTAGGAGAATATAAGAAGAAAAAAAAACTGCTCAAAGATATTGCTCAGAGAATTTCTCAGAGATAACCCAGTCTTAGCCAGTGTAGTTTTTTCAAATGTGACAAAACTGGTATTGTGGCTTATTCATGTGCCATATGTAATTAGGGTATTTTTCAACTTATCATACTGGTCCATACCATACAATGACATCCTTAGCTTGACTATGACCTCAACGTCTTAGTCGGTGTGGGTTTGTTCAAATTGGATAAAGCTGGTGTTGTGACTTATTCGTGTACCATAAAGAATTAGGTTGGGGTATTTGATACCTTATTATACCTGTACCATACCATACAATGATATCTTTAGCATGGATATGACCTCAATATACCGAGATGTATCTGATCAATGAGTGGATGGCTCGAGCCTCTTCCCCACGTGGCTCGCCCTAAGTTGCCGCCATGGCAAGCTCCGACTGCAAGTTTTGCAGGAAGCTCTTGAAATTTCTGGTCCACATGCGATGGTACTTTGTGGCGGTAGTGTTTGTGGTCACCTGTATCTTCTTCTGCATCTTCCACACGCTGCAACTCCTGGAGAAAGTCAGAAAAGGTCTGTGCGGCTTGGTTAGACGATGGAGGGCCCAAGACAGCCATCATACCTTGCTCGAACCTGTGGAACCTTTGGCGATCTACAAGTGTGGCCGACATTCCGAAATAACGTCGCTTCTCATTTAAACATCTTAGATATCAGAACCTGATGGAAGAATGCCCATCTCCAGTGATTATTATTGATTTTACCGATCTTAAAATATGTGGCGTGGAATACATGTCTTGTGAGAGACAATATCTTACTGCATCATGATGACTTCATTCAATGAAAACGTGAACTCTGCAGTTTTTTTTTCAAACTGTGGTTTCATAGAAAAGATGAACCAAATAAATGATCTATTCTCACTTATCAAATCTCAATAATTTCAACATCAAATTTATTATTTAAAACTTTCAACACTATAAAATGATTCTTTGTCTTGTTGCCTTAAGAAGCTCTCAGAAATATACCGAAACGTGTGTTAGCAAATAGAGTAATAGGAGATGTTCAGAATTTAAAATGGGATATCATCAGTTAGAGCTATATGGACCAAAAAATCAACAAACTCTCTATATATCACTTTAGGATATAGAAACTTTTGTGTTGTTGTCAGTGTCCATCAAGTCATGTTCGACTTTTGTTGACTATATGGACAAATATTCTTCAATTCGATCTGTGAGTGACCTTCACTCGCAACTCATCTAGTGACTTTCTTGACTTTTTCATCTCATTGCAGGTCTTCCTTCAATTTTCCCCAACATCAACGTCTTTTACGAACCATTTTCTCTCATTATGCGTCCATAATAAATAAGTCTTTATTAATAAAAGACAATTCGCTGAGGGAAAAGTTTCTTTTATGTATATCGGCAATACAAGCTTTCGGGCTCAACAGCCCTTCGACAGGTATAACTACGTTACTAGTAGTAGTTATACCTGTCGAAGGGCTGTTGAGCCCGAAAGCTTGTATTGCCGATATACATAAAAGAAACTTTTCCCTCAGCGAATTGTCTTTTATTAATAATTATACCGAAGGGATTATATTAGCAGCAAATAAGTCTTTGTTTACACATTTGGGATTCTAGGAATCTTCCAGGATTAATTCTATTTAAGATTAAAATATATTTTTTTTTATTTGTGTCCATGGCACTCTGAAAATCTTTCTCCAGGTTTCCAAAGCTTCAATTCTTTTTCTTTCTTCTTTTATGAATCCATCTCTCACATCCACGGAAGAAACTCATCACCTTAAAGTAATAGTGAGATGTTGAGTTAATTATTATACATAAATAATTCCTTCCCTTTGAATCATTTTGTCATACCCGAGAAACATTTTTCTTACAACATTTAAGATAAATTCTCATAAGGGATCTTTCTAATAAAACGAGAAAAAGAAAGGAATTCTCTATTCCTGTTTTGGCTGTAAACATGTTTTGGCTTGTTACATGAAACTCCCTACTTTTGCCAATTCACTAGGCCTGAGGAAGAATTACTCTAGAAAGTTTTCCAGATATTTAATAAAAAAGAACAATGCATTTCGTCTTTTAATATATTTTTAGTTCTTATATAGATCTATCAACTGGTACAATAGGATGACAGGTTACATGCATACACACAACTCTTAGTATTATTCACTAGTGGAATAGAGAATTTAGCTTAAGAGTAATTGACGAAAAAACATGAAATTGGATTCAAATTAACTCATTTTGGTGTGTAATGAATAATCATATTGTATTGTATTGTATATCATATTATTTTATTAGCAGAGTATTATTTTTTATGTTTATATTTTGCTATACTCTGTACACTTCCCTCTTTTGCTTATCTTTTGTTTATCACTCATAGTGCCTGAAATAAATTGTTTCTCATCCCAAAGTTGGTCTTCCCTAATTTTCCACGTGGCAATATTTAATACATAAAGGCTGAAAAAATAGCCAAATTCTTTCTATTTTATCAAACATTAGGTATATGTAATAGCTACTACAATAAGGATACGTTTAATGATATTCCATTGGTTCCTTCTTAGTTCAACTTTCTATGTATATCCGCTAGTGTTTTGACATATTTAGTGTTAAAATAGATTTGTAATATTATAATTTTTTCTTCAGATCCTATTTGACGTAGTGCGGAATATGCACTCATGAACAAAACTTAAGGAAGTGGAAAGGCTTTGATGTCGCCGATCGTATGTTTTTTTTTTTTTTAAGGAGACAGAAGCAATTTTTTCCACACTTGGTTATCTCGTGTGTCTTCAATAAAGGTCACTGTGTATCAAATATATTTCAGAGTTATTTTCTGAATCCCGATATACTTGATAAAGGTACAACTTTCTTAAGTTTTGTCCATGAGTGTATTTTGGAAGTTTTCGTTCTCTAGCAATTCTTATTACCTCAAGATAGAGAGAATTTATTCTCCAGTGAGAGTTCAACAATTGCTTTGATAAGACTTCTAGTAGATATTAATAAAGCAAGACTCTCTCTATTTTATAGACTCTAGTAGTTTCATTTGCTATATATAGATGGCGCGTTATTGCATTATGTTTAATTCATGTCTAATTGGTTTTGGAGAAATTGTTTGCAGCAAGGCATTACACAATGCAAATATTTATATGTAACTCTACTGTCCTCAACACGTAGATATATAATTGATCACACAGACGCACGCGCTCACGTTTTTTCGAAATTATAAGCTCGAGTATATCAGAACATTTTCTAACTTCAGTATGAACTGTATTAAAAAAAAAGCGAGCCTGCATAGAGTTATGCTTTAAATTATGGAAAACATAGCTTCCGAGACATTTCAAATGTTGAAGCAGGCTTTTAAAGAAGATGTCCTATTACAATCGAGTACATTTGAATGGTTTGCACGATTTAAAGCTGGTCGAACAAGCGTCAGAGATAATCTACACACTGGCAGACCTTTATCGATAAGAAACCCCGAAAATGCATTCAAAATTCCTGATATATTAGTAGAGATATAAAAAGTGGCGTGGGGTAGATTTAATTGGCGGATTCGCTGAACTGATGGGATAATCCTTCCAATATTTTCATCGCAGTATGAATAGCGGTAGGTTTAGAAAAAAAAGGTGTCTCGTGATCATGCAACTGAATGATCGTTGCCTTTTTCTTAATTTATTCACCTGATCCCTGTACAATTTACTTAGTATAATTTTTTTTTTTACAAAGTGGAAAGTTTTTCTCAATTGGAAAAGGAGAATTCGTGACTTAATACACCTATCCCCCGATTTACACGGTACTTGTTTTACACGTTTTCGCTTTTACACGGTTTTCCAAATAAGTTTTTTTTTTGTTTTTATCGCAATATACTAAATGCTACTGTGATTGAACACATGCGCTTTGTGCACATCTCACGAGGAATCCCGAGCTTATGTGCTAACTACATATTTTAACCTGTCAATGCATTTTATTTTTATTTCTGTGTACACTTATCCCCCGATTTACACGTTTTTCTCAGGAACGTATCTACCGTGTAAATCGGGGGATAGGTGTAGTTTTATTTATCATACTCTAGTGTTAATACAAAGCAATAACGCGCCATCTATATACAGTATAACAAATGAAAACCGTACGACGCGAGTGTTTATTCATAAATAAATCAAACTTCTACTGTCCTTACTGCGATATTTGGAGGGTTTGGCTCATCAGTGGTGAACTCATGAGCCAAGCTCTCCCAATATTTTTTCATCGCAGTAAGGACAGTAGAAAAGTTTGATTTATTTGTAAAAGAAACACTCGCGTCTTAATGTCTTCATTTGTTTTATACTCTAGTATATTCTCTCACCTCTCATTTCTAACTAAGGTTGGTAGAATAAAGCAAGGAAAGCCGCCACGTCGACAGAGTTGTGATAAATGACAGCAATTAAGGATGTCGCTGAGGTGGCGACAAACGCAGCCAAGCTAATCTGGCAGTAGCCTCGATGTCCTACCCTCGTAATTGAGCTACATGTTTAATTCAATGTGAACACAGAACATACCCCTAGTATCCCTAGTACACGTGGTACAGGCCATGATAATCATGGTGGGTAGTTAGCGACTGCTTTTACTGTAAGCGCACCACATGTTTACACATGTGAAAGCAGTTCGACTTTGCACTTACAAATGTGCCAGAGCCCCGTTTAATTACTTGCACTCGCTGGTGGGGTTGGACTTTTTCAAGAATCGGGGGCCATTGGAGCATTTTTTTTTTTTCTTTTTAAACAGAAAAAAGTGTCCAATGCGGGAATCGAACCCGGGTCGTAGTGGTCGAAAACCAAACTGTTTACCAGCCTTCCACCGACCCCGACGTTTCAAAGGTCAACAATTCTTTGTATGAACTTGTAAATTCCACTCTATACGCTTATTTATTTTTTATACATTACAAACGTAAATTTATAAGTGTACAAACCTTTTTGCCATTTATACTTATTTAAATATGTTTAATTTACATCTAAGCTAGCTTTCAGAAATATTTTTGCTTTTAATAAGCCTATCTACCGTTTATCGTCTTATCTAAAAACGTTAACAATTTTATACCTATTTATAAGCAAATTAAACTTTTTCTTCGCAATAAGAGGACAGTTAGAAAGTATATTTTAAATTTCAGAAGAAAAATTCGCCCGAAATAGTTCCAATTCTTCTATGTAGATGGCGCGCTATTTCATTATATTTAGTTTACGACTATAAACTCCCGGCGTATTTATGAGGAAGGAAATTGTTAAGTGCAATAGATTCATACTGTGTGTTTTTAAAGTTTAAGTTCTTAATTTCTTAATATAGTGTCTCCTAGAATGCTTCTAAAGAGCGGGATATAACAGCAGAACAGCCCGATGGGGAATATAAGAGCAGTCTGGTAGATTTAACTGGGAAAACGGCTGGGAGGGTTCATCACTGATGAGTCAGCCTTATCCAATATTTTTTATTGCTTATTTGAAACAATATTGAAACAATATATACACTAGTAAAAATTCCGGAACGAAACCTGACCTTAAACTATATAAAGATACAGTAGAACTTCCATGAGTGGACACTCGCGCTAGACATCAGGCCCAAGGGGGACACCCTGCCGGCCTTCCTGACCTTTGGCATAAAATGCTCAAAGTGTCATAGGCAGGGTCAGCGCAGGGCATGCTGCCCAATGCTCGTTAGGAGGGCGTCGCCCTCCTCTTCCACAGGTGCCGAGTCACCCGTCGCACCTCAGCAGCCAGGGCAACCAGCACCCCCCGCTCCAACTGTGGAGGTGCCAATTCCTGCACCAGCGCCCCCTGCCCATTCTATGGAGGTATCCGATGTTGGTCCTGTGGACCAGGATGTGCCCCATCGACCAGTTGATCCTCGGCCTCCTGCACTGGCACCCCCAGCCTCAGCTATGGAGGCACTATCTCCTGCTCCAGCGCCCCCTGCTCCATCTCCAGAGGTGCCAAGTGTTGGTCCCGCGGCTCACACTTCGCCCCGTCGGTTCACTGAGCCTCAGTCTGCTGGGCCGGCGCCGCCTACTCCCCATGTGATGAAGTCAGCACCAGCCGCAGTAGCCCCACCGCTACTAATACCTACCCCGATGACCCATGAGCTCCTGACCGCTCCTGCACCCCCTATAGCTCTCACTCCTGAGGGCGATGTGGACATAGAAAAGTTACTCATCCGATTGAAGGATCGAGAATTTCTGCACTCCATATATAACAAGAATAATGTGGTCAGGATGGATATCATACTCGCGGTCTATTACGAAGAAGAAACGGAGCACCTCCTCGGGCTACTCACGCCTGAAGACAAGATTCTTCTCGACAAATTCTTTGACATTATCATCAAACATGTTCCGAACATGAACTCCCCAAATGGCAGGGATCTGTCTAGATTCAAGGCGGCTTTAAGTTCCTGATCCGGACGTGCCCTCGGAGAGGGCTACGTCGATTGTATATATCTCTCTTCATTCCTACCATTATTATTACCTTATAACTCCCTTTGAGTGTAAAGATTGACGAGATGTCAATAAAGTTGTTTAATTGTCATTGTCACTTAATTACTACACTACCGCTGAAAATTAAGCGTTTCATAGCACAACTTAGACTCTTTTGTATATTTTTTCCCGAAAATTTATCAAAAGTTGGAAACCTGATTGCCCCACAACTTGTGATTTATGAAAAAGTATAATACAAGATGAAATTACACACCAAACAGTCTACTGCCCTCTCATGATGGAAGGCAGAGAAGAATTGCTGGGTCTTGTGTTCCAACCCAACTCTCAACAAATGTACAACTGGCTAAATACTGCGTTGGCTGACCTAAGCTTTACTTTTAAATATTTTATAAAGCTACGAATAGATATTCGAAGTAACTCAATGAATCCGGTGGCTTCTACTGAACAACTAGGTGAATGAACAAACTATTTAACCCCTAGAACTTTATATCCTGACTTTAGACAACCATCTAACCTTGATCCATCCATGTATAAAACTATTAAAATACATTTCCTCGAACATCTCTGCACATAGAACGCAGATTCATATAGGTGAATAGGCCACAAGGCCAGCTTCGACAAATTCGAAAAAAATCAACCTGTATTTGAACCTTGTACGAATTTGTCAGAGCTGGTGTTATGGCATCTTCACCGAACTGAATCTGTGCAAATGAATCAATCAATCAAATTAATTGTGTCTTAAAGCATTTTTAATGAGAAGGGGCACTTTAAACACATGAATGCCATACTTTATTTAAATTACTAATAGAGTGTTTATAATCTTTATCTAAAAAAATGTTGAATTTCATACCCTAACCAAGAAATTTGAATTTTTTTAGCGCTATGCCTTGTGAGAATTTATAAATTGATTAATAGAAACAAACTTCATTTAGAGTTTTTTTTTTTTGAAAAAGCTGTTAATAAATTAGATACGCGCGTTGTTTAAGAGAGAAAGGCAATTTGTATATATTAAAAAGAATTATTGAGAATAAATTGAATCTCTAGAGAGAGAGAGAGTGAACTAAGCAACAATGGAGCTGCCTATTATTGAATGAAAGGAATCCCAAGCAAGGATGAAGTGTAACATATTTACCTCACTATGATACTTATAATCTGGCTGCTGGTTATTAGAAGCCGCATATTTTGTGAATACTCAAGAAATTGATCAGAGTGGAACTAAGCTTGCAAGATCTAGTCTCTGGTTATTAGAGGCCGCATATTTTGCGAATACTCAAGAAATTGATCAGAGCGGAATTACGCTTGCAAGATCTAGTCTCTGGTTATTAGAGGCCGCATATTTTGCGAATTACCAAGAAATAGATCAGAGCGGAACTACGCTTGCAAGATCTAGTCTCTAGTTATTAGAGGCCGCATATTTTGCTAATTATCAAGAAATTGATCAGAGCGGAACTACGCTTGCAAGATCTAGTCTCTGGTTATTAGAGGCCGCATATTTTGCTAATTATCAAGAAATTGATCAGAGCGGAACTACGCTTGCAAGATCTAGTCTCTGGTTATTAGAGGCCGCATATTTTGCTAATTATCAAGAAATTGATCAGAGCGGAACTACGCTTGCAAGATCTAGTCTCTGGTTATTAGAGGCCGCATATTTTGCTAATTATCAAGAAATTGATCAGAGCGGAACTACGCTTGCAAGATCTAGTCTCTAGTTATTAGAGGCCGCATATTTTGCTAATTATCAAGAAATTGATCAGAGCGGAACTACGCTTGCAAGATCTAGTCTCTAGTTATTAGAGGCCGCATATTTTGCTAATTATCAAGAAATTGATCAGAGCGGAACTACGCTTGCAAGATCTAGTCTCTGGTTATTAGAGGCCGCATATTTTGCGAATTACCAAGAAATAGATCAGAGCGGAACTACGCTTGCAAGATCTAGTCTCTGGTTATTAGAGGCCGCATATTTTGCGAATTATCAAGAAATTGATCAGAGCGGAACTACGCTTGCAAGATCTAGTCTATGTTTATTAGAGGCCGCATATTTTGCGAATACTCAAGAAATTGGTCAGAGCGGAACTACGCTTGCAAGATTTAGTCTCTGGTTATTAGAGGCAGAATATTTTGCGAATTATCAAGAAAAAATATCAGAGTGGAACTACGCTTGCAAGATCTAGTCTCTGGTTATTAGAGGCCGCATATTTTGCGAATACTCAAGAAATTAATCAGAGAGGAACTAGGCTTGCAAGATCTAGTCTCTGGTTATTAGAGGCCGCATATTTTGCGAATTCTCAAGAAAAAATTTCAGAGCGGAACTACGCTTGCAAGATCTAGTCTCTGGTTATTAGAGGCTGCATATTTTGCGAATACTCAAGAAATTGGTCAAAGAGAAACTACGCTTGCAAGATCTAGTCTCTGGTTATTAGAGGCCGCATATTTTGCGAATACTCAATAAATTGATCAGAGCGGAATTACGCTTGTAAGATCTAGTCTCTGGTTATTAGAGGCTGCATATTTTGCGAATTCTCAAGAAATTGATCAGAGCGGAACTACGCTTGCAAGATCTAGTCTCTGGTTATTAGAGGCCTCACATCGCGAAGGCTCGATGAATTAATCAAAGCGGCCAATTGTGTCGAGATATCGCTGGTTTTCAAATTCCTTCGTCTTCCCAAGCACGCCGTGGTATTTCTCAAGTTTACACCAACCAATGTCAGATTATAGTTAGCTGATCACTATGTGTTGGCCTGTACTACGTATATTTGGGGTAAGTAAAATAAAAACAAGCCTACCTTCACGAGAGAGACGGTTACGAGCCAAATAGGTCTATTAGGGTGTTCAATATGCAATAAGTGCAGAGATGTCTTCGATATATATGACACTACACAAATAATTACAATATCTCACCGCCATTATAAATCGTGTAAACTGATAAAAAATAAATAAATGAGCAATTTATTCAATAGAGGATAACCAAAAATGAATGTTGGGGGAAAGTATTTTTTGGCCGATAGTTACTCATTTAGCGGAACACTTCTCTAGATTGAAATACAGTATTTGAAACTCGATTTCTTTTCGGAAAACTCAGACTGATATGAAAATATTTTGTCTTAATATAAAAATTAGCAATTATATTTTAATTTAAAAATTCAAATTTCTACTACCACTCTACACATTTAATAATTGTCTATATAGATAATACCGTAACAGAGTTTTCCATTGTAAAGTCCTGAGCTATCTCCTCCGAAGATTCTGAACTACACATAACAATCTATATACCAAAATTTTCGTTATTTTTTTCTTCGTGTCATAGGCCTGTTTTTATTTTCCTAATGTTAACAGTTATTTTTATTTTTTAATTTAATCTATTTTACAATCGTAGATTTTTTGCATTTATCA